TCCCGAGCTCCGGGGCGTCTGCAGGGCGTGCGGGGGGCACGTCCGCGGGTACTCGAGTTGTCTCCCTCCTGTATGTCATCCCGTGAGCTGTGGTGTGTGTAAATGATCTCAGCTGCTGTGTATCCAGAAACGCAGTCTGACTCTTGACTTCTGCTTGGCCACAATAAAAGCGTTTTGTGCATCTAATTTTATACTTGGAGACCTGTTACTAACGGCGAGGCCGGTTTCGAGGCAGCCACGGTTTACGCTGGGCAAGGGAGGCGCGTCGTTCCGCGGGGCGACGCCGATCCGGCGGCTGTCCCCAAGCTGGGCAAGGGGCAGCGACCGCGGGCCAGGGGAGCAGGGACAGCCGGGGAGCCAAGGGCTGGGCCGGCTGCGCCCCTCGGAGAAGGTACGGCTGGAAGGGACTTTCCTCGGGCGGACGCGAGCCCTGCAGAACGTTTTGGCCCGAAATAAGCGCCACGCGAATGTCCCCCTGACGGTTCACTGGAATCCTCTCCGAAAGGGCACCGGGCTGGCCAGTCACAGCTAGCCGAGGTGGAGACCTCCGCCGAAGCCCTGACTCCCAGGATGAACTATTTACCTACTTCAAATCGACTTCAGGGGCAGCCCAAAGGCTTTGACCATTACACAGGTAACAGCTTTAGTGTCATTATTCTCCCAGTAGCAGACTAGTTCCTTTCTTTTAACCTCTGGAGGTACTATTTCACATTCTCTCTTCCCCTTCTCAGACACAACATATAAAAAAAAATATTAATTCCCAACTTTTTTTTGGTTAATTTTATTGAAAACTAGATGGCATTGTCGCTTGGAGCAAAAGCTTAGCCGTCAGCTTGCCTAACACTGAGGGCGAGGGGATGCCAAGCAGTAGCCTAGCTTTAGGCTAACCTCCAGCATTATGCTGAAGAAACTGGGTGCTGCTCACTGCGGGGATTGCACAAGGGGGGGAAAAACCCACCCAACCCCCCCCCCAACCAAACAAAAAAATCCAAACAGCAACGCCAACCCCCCCCAGCACTTTCCTGGGAAGCAGCCCACAGAAAAGATGAGGCTTGCCGTGGAGGGGGACGCCCCC